TTGTGACTGGAACTAGAAAGAGGTGAATTCCTGCTTGTCATCCCAAGAGACAGCAAAACAATGTGGTTGAACCATTAGTGATAATAATGAAGAAGATGAAGTCAGATCTTCATTTATTGATCATGTTATATTCCACTGTGTGTTTAAATCTCCAGTGTGTCCTGATCACATGGCAGCGTTATTACAGGTACTGTGGCACAGTGGTGGATTTAGGGCAGGGCGAGCGGGGTGGCTGCCGCGGTCCCCGCACTTCCCGAGGCCCCGCACATGCGCCGTGGCACCACGGCATATGCGCCATGTCAAAGGAGGGGCCCTGCGAAATTTCGCTGCCTGGGGCCCTGCGGCTCTGCCCTGGGCCCCGCGGCACTCTCATCCGCCCCTGGTGCGGCATTCCACTCAACTGACATGAACTAGATGTCATATTATAAAGCCAATCTCCCCTGACTCTAACACTTCTTTTCTACATCAAAAGATAAGAATGAGATACTTCTAGCTCACTTAATTAGCATCATTAGTAACAGTCCAACAATTGACAGGTACTTGTTTTGTCCCCCTCTGTTATAAATATCTTGCTTATTATTTGCACTCTATCTCAAATTGTGATGAAGTGGGTTTTACCCAGGAAAGCTCATGATAGTGCCACAGGACTATCTGTTGTTGTTAAAGGTACCGACTAACATTGCTACTCCCTCAGAGATTCGTGGTTAGAAGACAGGCATCTATAAAAACTATGCAGAGTCCAGAAGTTAGTGGTGTAGATCTGTAAGAATAAAGTTTGTGTGCTTTACTTTTCAAACTGACTTGTCAAACATTGTCCTCTTTATTTAAGGAGTTAGTGGAAGTGCCCTTATCAGTCAACTTCTGAACTGAAGTCTTTGCTTCTTCCAATACATTTTCAAATGGACGTATCTCTGGTTGATCCTCATGTAGCTTCAATTTCTGGACAGAGATCTAGTACTGTTGTAACAGATGCCTGGACTGCACTGTTTAATAACCCAACTGATTCCTCCACTGGTACCTCCCACCACTTTGCCCTCCACAATATTGCATTCTTTCTTTGCAACACTCTCTCTCCTTCATGTGGCTTAGACCAGCTCTTTTTCCTCTCTAACCCACATCCTCAAATGTGTCTTCCTCCACTATTCCTCTTCTATCTTCCCTTCTTATTCTTTTCTTCACAACCTCCCCAAGTTCTCCCTTTGTGGCTCTACTTCATTTCTTTCCCTTCTCCTGCTTTCCCCTCTGCTTGGCTATGTCTACACTGCTTTTGCTTTCTGGAAAAAGATATGCAAATTGCAAACAGTGTACTTTTTACTGCTTGTTTTTTCAGAAGAGGCTTTTCTGACATTTGGTCTGTCTACACGGGGCCAAATGTGGGAAAAACCTCCTTTGGCAGATACCTTTTTCCTCATAAAATGAGGAATACAGGGATGCCAAAAGAACTCGCCCCCTTTTTCGGAAACTGTTTGAAGAAAGTCGATGCGTTACCTGGATGAAGGCAGGCTCTATGTCAGGCTACAGTCTGGGGAGAAAGAGCCCACTGGGGGTTAGCAGAGAGAACTAGAGAAGAGTTAGGTTTGAGGAAGGGGGAGAGGCGAGAACAAAAAGGCAGGGTTGGGGATGGAAGAGAGAAGTGAACTGTGATGGAGAGTGCACTGGGTTGAAGTCTTGGGGGAAGAGGAAGCACAATGTGCAGGGCTTCAAGGGGGAAAAAGTGGGACCAGGTGCAGAGTAGGGGGTTTAGTGGTCTGTGATTAATAATTAGCAAGTGCCTAACTTGCAAAACTTCAGGTAGTTTTTCAGAAGTTACGAGCACCCAACAACTCCAGTTAAAGTTAATGAGAGATTAGCTCAGTACACCTGAAAATCAAGCCCAAGACATTTCCAGTTGCAGAGTGACCAGTGCCCTTCCAACTGAAGCAAAATGCAGGACAATGTAGCACTTTAAAGACTAACAAGATGGTTTATTAGATGATGAGCTTTCGTGGGCCAGACCCACTTCCTCAGATCAAATAGTGGAAGAAAGTAGTCACAACCATATATACCAAAGGATACAATTAAAAAAAAGAACAAATATGAAAAGGACAAATCACATTGCAGAACAGAAGGAGGAGGCGGGGGGGTGGGAAGGGGGAGGAAGGAAGGTAAGTGTCTGTGAATTGATGATATTAGAGGTAGGGAGAGTGGGATGTTTGTGAGTTAATGGTATTACAGGTGATAATTGGGGAAACTGTCTTGATAATGGGTGAGAAAGTTCAAAGACTTGTTAAGTCCCTGGTGGTAAGTGTCGAATTTTAACATGAATGACAGTTCAGAGGATTCCCTTTCAAGTGCAGATGTAAAAGTTAAGACCTTTAATAAACCTGTCACCTAGATCTCAGGTTAATGTTTTATCCAAAACTACACCAGAGATTCTGCCTTTTGTCTGTAAATCACCTGAAAGGATTTTACAAACTTTTTCTTGCATAAGAACTGTTTGTTTAACTAATAACTAAATACATAAATATACAACTCTGGCTATGTTTAAACTACTCTTTGGATTTGTGCCTGACTCATTAGGATGAAGGAAGCCACATGGTATGTCCTGTATGCCTGTGCGTTCCAAGTTACATATCTACTTTTGAGAACTTCCTGAGAAGGAAAAGTTTGCCAGGATGCAATTCCCAGCTGGACTGTGAAGCTCTAGACTTGAGAGGAGAAGTTGCAGGCCAATGAACATAGAAAACATGCAGTCAAAGGAAGACATTAGATAGTAAAAAATACTAAATGACTGGCAATTGATGATTTTGAGGTAAGATTTGAGTTATATATTGACCTTGGTATGTGACTGGTTCTTTGGGATTAGAAGAACCCTTTGATTGGTGAAACTGGTTTTAAATAACCACTCGTTAAATTAGTGGGATTTTTTGTTATGATGCAAGGACTGGAATATATAAGGAGGCTGCTTTTTAGACTTGTTCTTACTCAGTGTAGTGAGACAATTTACTTTTGCTGCTGGGTTGGTATATCTCATGAGAAAATAAGCACCAGTTTTGGGGTGTGTCTGCCTTATTTTAAAGCAGCTTGTCCTGAATTTTGTACTGTGACCCACTAAGGCACAGTGGCAGGTTGATTTACACTAACAACTTATGGAAATGTATCTGCATCACTCAAGAGTGCAAAAAATCCCCATCACTCTGTAACACAATTATAGGAATCTAACTCCTGGTGTAGATAGTAGTACTACATCAAATGGAAAGTGTCTTCCATCCACTGTCTTTTGGTGTAGGTGGAATACCTATCTATATTGATGGAGGAAGCAATCCTGTAGACATAGGCAGAATCTCAAGCATTACAGCTGTAAGTACAGAAACTCTGTGAGACAGGAACTGTTACAGCAGTTCTCAAACTTCATTGATCCATGACCCCTTCCAAGAACAAAAAATACTAGATACCTGAGGACTTCATTCCTGGGCAATGGGGCTGAAGCCACAGTCTTAGCCCCGCCACTTGGGCGGCGGGGTTGAAATCATTGCCTCAGAGCTTGAGCTCTGGCCACCAGAACATGTGAGACTAGGGCAGGGTTGGGTGATAACGGTGGCGGTTCACTAGGATTACCCTCCGGTGGGCCACTGCTGCTATATTTACCTGCACCTCTGCAGGTACAGGTAATTTCAGCACCCAGTGGCCAGGAACAGTGGTCGATGGCCAAGAAGAGCTGTCATCCCCTAGAACCTGTAGAGGCGCAAGTAAATATGGTGGTGTGGGGGCCCACCAGGGGCTAACTCTGGCAGATCTGATCCAGCCCATAGGCCACTGTTTCCTCACCGCTGAACTAGGGCTTCCACCCTGGGCCAGAATATGTCTAAAACCATCTTTGGTGACTCCATTATGACATCTATCTTGAGAACCCTTGTGCTGCAGCGTCCCCATTTTGCTGGAGTGCACTTTGCCCTGTGACATCGAGTGGCCTTCCTCTGTCAGAAATATTCCTTCTGCCTTCTCCTCTCGGTCTACCCATCAGGGCTTCCGACATATTTTGTTTTTAAATCCATCTCAATGAAAAGTATTAACTAACACCAACTCTTCTGCACTGCAGTGTCTCAAACGAAACCATCCCAGAAGGGAGGCCGCGGGGGTGGAAAGGGAGGGTTGAGAGGCGGTGAACCAACATCTAATTTGTGTCCAGAAAGGACTGCGAGCCAGAGAGCGCAGCAGCGCCCCGCCGGCCCAGCACCTAGGGCAGTGAGACCGCAGAGCGTGTGGGGGGCTCTGGCTCCCCGCGCAGCGCAATGCAAGAAGGGAGAGTCCAGGCAGCTCGGGCCAGGCATGCTCTGGTGCTTTGCGAGCACGGGCTGGGGCTGCGCTGCAGCAGGGGGGCCCGCGGC